GGTGGGTCTTGAATTAAAATAGTTCAGGGAGTTATCTCCAAAACCCTACAATGTTAGGGGGTTTCTGAAATTAACAAATAAAATTGTAAAGATACTCAATAGTTGTGTACCCACCCATATCCCATGCTCTTTAGTGCATATTAATGTCGTTTTATCCTTAAATGGATGCACACTATATGACATCAAGTTACAGATTTTTATCTATCTATTTTTATCTATCTAATCACATGTGTTCTGTCTCACAACTTTACATTCATTAAGTTGATTATGAATCTGATCTCATATGTATATGATCTTTTTGGTCTTAGGATTGGATGGTTTAAAAGAGTTGGACTTGTCAAGATGCTCAAAGGTTACAGATGCTGGTATTAAGCATGTGTTATCTATTCCAAGTTTGGAAAAGCTATTTGCATCTGAAACTGGCATGAGTGCTGAGGGTGTGAAAGCTCTCTCCTATTTTACAAGTCTGCGAACCCTGGATTTAGGAGGGATACCTGTAACTGACAAGGCACTGGGTTCATTACAGGTATCTTTTGAATATACCTTTATATAATGTCTTCCATACTGAAATTCACAATTCAGCTACTATATTGTTCTCCCAACAGACGTCATTTGTTTCTGAGGGTCCAATTACCAGTAATTCCTGACGAATGTTCCCTCCCTTATGAAAACTATCTGAAAATTCTGTTACCATAAAGTTAAACAGTGATATTATGATGCTTCCATGATAGAACTGAATGGAAGAATAAGATTCATGTAGGCGACCCCAAAATTTTGGGATAAAGTTCTTTTTGTTGTTGTGACTTTCAATACAAAATTTAGCATAGTGCGGTTTTCGATTCTTGAACTCATAATGATTTGTCTATTTTTTTTACCGCATTGATTGTACTAATGAAATTGTGTTGATGTTCACTATGGATCATTCTCTTATCTTGGTGCAGTCGTTGGCAGGGCTTGAGTACTTGGATTTATGGGGCAGTGAAATTTCCAACAATGGAGCTGCTCTTCTTGAAAATTTTCCCAGATTGAACTTCCTGAATCTAGCTTGGACTAAGGTCACTGTGTTGCCACATCTTCCTTCAGTCACAACCTTAAACATGAGTAACTGCACCGTCCATGCTTTATTTGATGGAGAAAGCAAAACTAGAATTCCTTTGTCAAAGCTTCTTTTAACAGGAGCTACTATTGTTGATCCTAGCGAAGTTCTTAGAAATGTTGAAGCAAGCTGTATGACCTTCTTAGATATTTCTGGCTCTTCCACTTGCAACTTCAGTTTTCTTGTTAATATGAGGCGGCTGGAGCATTTGGATCTCAGCTCAAGCAATATGAGCGGTAGTTTAATCGATGATTTAGCACATGTTGGAGACAATTTGAGGTACTTAAATCTCAGCAAGACCAAGATCACCTCTGAGGCAATTGCTTTGTTGGCTGGTCATGTGTCAAACCTTGAAACTCTCTCCCTTTCGTACACAGCAATTGATGATGCCTCTTTGCCATATATAGGGATGATGACTTCTTTAAGAACACTTGACTTAAGCCACACAGGAATTCAAGGTATGAAATCTCTCCCTCAAAATTTTGTCACTTTGACAGAAGATTAATATATGTTGTGTTCTAATCGTTATTTTTTATGGGAATAACAGGTTTTCTTTCGGATAAAACATTCTCACTGATAGAGCTACAGAATCTGAGTATTTTGGAAAATCTGAATCTGGAAGAGACTTTAGTTAGAGACGAGGCTTTATATCCCTTGGCTTTCTTTAGAGAATTGAAATGTTTATACCTGAAGAGCAATAATCTTTCTGATATTGCCCTCCAAGCTTTATCATCACCTCTCCCAAATTTGCAAATTCTAGGATTTCGTGGTGCTGTGCTGACAAACTCAGGGCTTCTTTTGTATAGTCCCTCACCAGTGCTTCGTACGTTAGACTTGAGAGGATGTTGGCTTTTAACTGCAGATGTTATTTCATTATTTTGTAAGCATCATCCTAGAATTGAAATCAGACATGATGTGAATTCTGCTATTGGTTCATCCTCATTTCAAAATCCTTCAAAAGGACCAAGAGCAAGGCATGGGGGAGAAAAGTTACTCGAAGTCCCAATTTTAGTAGGTATGAATTCTGCTATTGGTTCATCCTCATTTCAAAATCCTTCAAAAGGACCAAGAGCAAGGCATGGGGGAGAAAAGTTACCCGAAGTCCCAATTTTTGTAGGTATGACTCTTAAATGATTGCACTATTATCTGTAAGATTTTTAATTAATTGTTGCATTCACATCTAATTTCTTTTTTATTGTGGTAATTGTTTCAGATGAGAGAATAAAGTACGTTCGAGAGGAACTGTTGGACTTGCGGTTTTCACCCCTATCAAATCTCACGCTGCAAGGACGAGAAATGTTGCCAACGATTTTGAGGAAGGAGTAAGTACTTTGTATTTTGTATTGCATCTCAATTTGTCTTTGAAGTGCATCTGCTTTGCTCAATGCTTGAAGGAATCTTACTTCTGTAACCTGTACTTGGCGCCTTGTCGTTTTAGCCCTATCACATGCAGCAAGCCTGAGATGTGCAAATTAACTCAAAGGACGATTCTCATTCTTGTTAATTATCCGTAAGCAGATGACTGATATTGGGTGATTTTTCCAATGAATTTGATTCCAGGTCAGATGCTTAACCCGGAAAATAGCAGGAGGGGGAAAACCCCATTTGAGGAGAATGGTATTTGAGGGCTTTATCTTTTTTTTTTTCGAAGAAAAGTTCTCGACAGCCATTGTTAATGAGGATATATTGACTGTCCCATAGAACGTAAGTATGTAATCTTCAGAGTACTGCTGGGGGAGAGAGTTACTGCTGAGACGTCTGTAAATGGAACCAGCATTTAATTTTGGTTAATTTTTGTTCGGCTCATCCCATCTTTGTCCAAATTTTATTCGCATTATGACAATCTCGGCAGAAAGGGGGACACTGTTAGAAAACAAACTTCATAAAGAAACAATGTAGTCAAAGCTAAAATGGCACAAGGCACTGATTATTATTACACAAATTCAAGATAAAAACACTCTCCTGGCTAACATCACCCTACGGCATTACAGTTATTTCCTCTAATTAACCTCCTAATACACTAATAACCATTGCTCTGTTTCCTCCAACTCCATGATCCCCAGCTGCCTCCCCCTCACGGCGACACAAAGCTGCAATAACAAACGACGCATCATGATATTAGCTGAGCGAAAAAGTTGAAGAAAATCAATTGCTTAATATGCTAATTGCAGATGCACCCCTATATTACCCATGATTTTTCTAAATGTTTTTTTTTTCGCTTTGCCAAATAATAAATATTAGGAGACCTTTCAGCAACACACTGACGTCACACGCAAATACAAGTAACTGGGAGATAATTAGATTTGGACGTCAACTATCTAATTATCACAAAATACAATTAACAGAGAGATAATTCGATTTGGACGTCAACTACCTAACTATCATACCTATCACAGTCCATGGTGGGGGAGAGAGTGAGATTGAGGTTGAGCCCGCACGTGCGGGGTAACACCGCAGCACGATTGAGATCAACCATGGGGAGCCGAGGGGCGATGGACTTGATGCAGTCGCAGACGGCAACTCGGTCCGCCACCGAGCCCGTCGACGCGGTCTGGTTGAGGGCGGCCACGCCGCTGCAGCATGGGCCGTACGGGGCCCAAGCCCTGTCGGCCAAGTAGGCGACGCAAGGCGTTATCATACGCGCCACCATCTTGCACGTCGGAGACATGGATTGGGACGGTGAAATAGCGATCGCGGAGAGGAGGAAGAGTAGGAGGAGGCGGCGGCTGAGGAGGAGAGCCATGGGGGTTGAAATGATTGATATATAATGATGATGCTGAGTTAACGAGAGGGCTGGGATTTAATTAACTAAGTAATTTAATGGTTGAGTGTATGATTTATAGATGGGTGGATGAGAGGGTGAATGCATCATGAGGTTGTGATGGGGGCGAGGGAAGGTGAGGGATGAGGATTTCATGGCCTTTCATTCGCATTAGCATGCATGAAGGTGTGAGGGGGTCTGGTCATCTGCTTGTGAACTTACCCCCCTAGGATCTAACGTATTTATCAGTTATAATCTTCCAAAATGATATAGTTTTCTATTTGGTAAAACTTCAGCGGAGGTTGCTCAAAGCATTTGACCAAATATTATATGGATCCTTAATGTTTGAAAGTGGTCCCTAACCAAAGTCCATTCTATAAAATCTATTAAATCTTGCTGACTTGGTAAGACATGCACGATTGCTATATCCACTCCCAAACAGTAATTTTGGGAGTTGGATTGCCAAAAATACCCTTTTGTATGAAGTGGTCCCTAACCAAAGTCCATTCTATAAAATCTATTAAATCTTGCTGACTTGGTAAGACATGCACGATTGCTATATCCACTCCCAAACAGTAATTTTGGGAGTTGGATTGCCAAAAATACCCTTTTGTATGCTTTATCACAGAGTTATTAAATGCACATTGACTCGGAATGTTATTAAAATGCACAGAGTTACTAAATCCACTTGACTCGGAATGTGATAAGGTCCAAAGTTCGGAATGTTATTAAATGCACATTGGATTCATTCATTATATTTATTTTTTCCTTGTTAAATATATGGCTATATTAACTTATTAAGTATAAGGCCACATGGGATGAATCCAATGAGTTGCTTTATCACAGAGAGCACAAGTTCAATTGTAATTTCTCTGTATTAACCAAAAGACAAAAAGAATTCACAACTAAATGTTTGCCTCGGTCAGTGAGCTTTCAGAAATTCGAATTTTTGACTAATTTGAATTTCCAATACAATTTACACAAATTACATAAAATCGTTTTTTTCAAAAATAAATTACACCACTCAAAATTGATTTTGACCCCTTAGATTTTTACCTATAAAAAGGCCAACAGTTTAAGTTTTTCAAATCACAATCACAACTCAAACACTCACAACTCAAACACTTACAATTACAATCACAAACAATATGAATTCTGGAGATTACAACTCCATAAATCTTGATGAAGTTGAATTCGTCATCGACGAAACACAAAGTGATCCATTCCAGGATCATAGTTCATATGTAGAGTTTGAAGACATTTCAACCGATTTCGGTAATCCGGAAGGAGGTTTTGCTAGTAGAGAGGACATGGATGCTCATGTAAGATATGTTGCTGGCTTGAGGAACGTTACTTTGGCAATTCGTGATTCGAAGGGAAAAGACGGCCGACGGCCCAAAGTTCGATATTTATGTAGCCAAGGTGGCGGATACAGACCAAAAAAGGTTACTGGAACTAGGTCCACTAAAACGACAAAAAATAATTGTCCATTTTGGTTGGACGGAATGGAGTACCCTGGAGGGCGCTGGTACTTTGAAGTCCGGGAGGGGAGACACAACCATCCATTCCCGTCTCATGCTGTGGGATCTCGTTTAGGTAAAATATCCCCTATTCAACTTGAAGTTATTAGGGAGCAAGAGAATTTTAATTTAAGCCCGAGTAATATGTTGGCGTCCATGAAAAGGGCTGATCCGGAGAACAAATCGTGTACAAGTTTACAATGCTGTCAGTAAGGTGCGTGCCCAGAAAAGAGAAGGTCGGACCCCGATGAATAATTTCATCCATTTACTCAGGCAATTGAACTACATGTACGACGTTCGGACTGCTGATGAATCTTCCGAACTTGGAGATATTGTTTTCTGCCACCCGGCTTCTTTTGTGATGGTGAATGCATATCCGGAAGTCATGATGATTGATTGTACGTACAACACCAATGAGTATGACATGCCTCTACTAGAAGTGGTCGGTGCAACAAGTACGGACAAAACGTTCACTATCGCCTACGCATTCATGCGAAATGAGAGACAAGAAAACTACAGGTTTGTGTCTTAATGAATTTTAATTTTTGTCATATGTTTAAATTTAAAATTGTTAATTAACATTATTTAGTACAATTGTTTGTCAATGTTATGAATAATGTTAAATTGAATATTTAGGAGGAGTTAATATTGTTATGAACATTATTAGTATTGTTTAATTAGGAGTTATTATTTTTATGAACATTATTAGAATTGTTTAATTAGGAGGAGTTATTATTTTTATGAACATTATTAGAATTGTTTAATTAGGAGGAGTTATTATTTTTATGAACATTATTAGAATTGTTGAATTAGGAGGAGTTATTATTTTTATGAACATTATTAGAATTGTTTAATTAGGAGTTATTATTTTTATTGAACATTATTAGTATTGTTTAATTAGGAGTTATTATTTTTATGAACATTATTATATTGTTATTTTTTTATTGTTATATTGTTTAATTAGAACTTATTATAATATTATTAGGAGTTGTTACTGTTATGAAAATTATTATATTGTTTAATTAGGACTTATTATAGTATTATTATTGTTATTAACATTGTTATTGTAGTATTGTCATTAATATTGTTATTATGTTAATTTGTTGTTATAAATTACAATTGACAATTATTTAGTACAGTTATTTTGTCCTACGTTTAAATTTAAAATTATTAATGTTATATTATTTTGCAGGTTTGTGTTACAGTTTATCCGTACTTTGTTCGTTAGCCAAGTGACACCTAATGTCATTGTAACAGACCGAGATTACGCCTTGATGCATGCTGTCGAGTATGTTTTCCCGGAATCCAGGCATCATTTGTGTCGCCGTCACATTGAGCAATGCGTGCTACAACGAGCACTGCAGCAACCTGGTTTTTTAAAAGAGGCGGCAGAAGGATTTAAATTTCGTTGGAATTGGGCGATAAGTGCACCGACCATAGATGACTTTAATGATAGATGGGGACGTCTGGCAGCACATTATTCGAGTTGGGGAGCATTGCTGAACTACTGCATTGACACATGGATTAGTCCGCATTCCCAAAAAATCCTGTCAGCTTACATCGACCATTATTTTCACTTCGGAAGCTACACAACAAATAGGTACTTCTTGTGAGATTTACGTGACTAAATAATCGTTACATGTAGTCAACATTAATAATTAATATTCAAGTTCAATTGGTAATGCAGGGTCGAAGGAGAACATCATCGCGTCAAACGACATTTAGATGGTGGTCGGTACCCATTCGATACCGTACTGGAGAAACTTCACAAGGTGATGGAAGGCCAAATCTGTGAGATTAAGAAAGTAGCGAGAGTTAACGCTACTAAATCCAACACAGACACCCTTGGAGATACGTTGTTTGTTAATCTGAACAGATCAATCACGTTTAAAGCATTCGGCCTCATAAGGAAAGAAATGCAAGTTTTACAAGAAATGGGTCAGGATCCAACAACGTGTGGTTGCTACCTAAGGAGAACTCATGGTCTACCGTGCGCACATGAGCTTCAGTACTACATCATAAATGGGTATAGCATTCCGTTGGATCAAATACATGATTATTGGAAAAAGTTAGATATTTAGTTTCCAATATTTCCTAATGATGCCGCGGATGGATCCCCGACTCCACCAAATCCAGTGAGGAGGACGTTGTTCGAAGAAGTCCCTGATATTACTGCACCTCCTACTGCTAAAAAAAAACCAAGGGTAAAAAGCTCTCTAATCTCCGTGTACCTTCGGCGTGGGAGAGGGTTGTGAAACAGTACAGATTTAAAAAGTCTCCAAACAAAAAGGTAATACTACATAACTTATGAATTTCTATATTTGAAAATTATGATTTATATTAGTTACTAATTTATTATTCTCAATTTAACATTGTCAACCTATGCATTTGTAAAGGGCCCTGGACGTGTTGCTTCTATCTCTGAATCACAGGGGAGTCCAATGAGCACATCCCAACGTACGGGGCCACCAGTATCACCATCTTCTCCAAATCCTCCGTGCTCAAGGCCTCCAATGTCAACCCCTTCTTCCAAAGGCACCACGTTCATCTTTAAGAATTCTGTATTTGAGAGAGAATTCCCGCCCTACATTAGAAAATACATAGATCAATGCACAGATGTAGCGGCAGACGGAAATTGTGGATTTAGAGCGGTGGCTCTAGCAATTTACGGAACAGAAGATGATTGGGTTAAAGTTAGACAAGACTTAGTAGCAGATCTACAGAATAGAAGCGCCTTGTACGCTCGAATCTTAGGTGGGAGGAGTGCGAGGAGTTCTAATGTGACTAATCTCATCCAATCGATTGCTCACTACCATGGACCAGCGGATGATGATTACTGGATGGCGGTACCGGATTGCGGTCACGTAATTGCAACAACATATAATGTTGTTTTCATGACATTCAGTGAACATGGAGGAAATACTTGTCTGCCAGCGATATTAGATGAAACACAAGGACCTCCAACCCGAAAGGTGGTGTGCGGACATCTTAGCAATGATCATTGGATTTTGGTAAGAAAATTACACTAGTCGACGATCATATAAACAAGTTGAATTTTAACTTTAATTTTTTATATAAGAATATAACTTCAATATTTGTACATTTTTTTCCAGTTGCATATGAAACCAGGGGATCATCCGGTACCACCCATAGCATTTTACTGGAACGACCATCACGACAAATCTGCAGATGGTTTAGATGCACAATTTGCATTCTCGATCGGTCACTTTAACCGTCTCCACAATGAAGATGGAGAACGTCGAGCAGCAACAAGAAGAAGAAAGAACAATTAATTAGGATCGAAAAAACAATTGATGTATTTCGTTGAGTAGATTAATACTTTGATTTTCTAATAAATTTTATTATTATCCTTCATTATAGTCTAACACTTCAAACATTTCTCACACTTAAACAAATTTTATTAACGATTTTAAAAATTCATTATAGTCTAACTATTCACACTCTCAAACAGTAACTTTGGGGGTGTGTGAGGACTAAACCGCAATGAATGGTTATAAGAAGCATCTACAGCGATACTATTTGAAAACAGTATGAAACAATGCTGCATTTGGATGAATAAACGGCAAGCTATCACATTTTTGATTACATTTATTACAAATATAAGAAGAGTTGAGCTTTCTTCAGTAAATATGAAGAAAGAAATTAATATTGGTACGCCCAAAGGCTAGCCTAGACTCCACCGAGAATTCAAAGAAAATTGGATCCTCAAGGAAAAACGAAAATGAGACAACAACAATGTAATGATAAAGATAAAGATTCTTTCAAAATTAAGGGAGCACAAGCAATTACTACTGCACAATTTTCAAAAGGAAATTTGAAATTCTACAGTGTACTAAAATTAACAAAACACATCCAAAACAAGGGCAATTTAGTCCTCACACACGCCAAAGTTACTATTTGGGAGTGTAAATAGTTGGACCCTAAGACATGGCCTTGTTGTGCTACTTCCGCGTTAAAATTTTTAGTTAAATTCTAAATTTAACAAAAACTTATAATTTGACTATTTTTGTTGATGCGGTGAGAGAAACTAGGATCTCACTAATTTGTTTGCTAACATGATAGTGCCACATTATCGTCACGTTTGCGAAGCTTGCCCAAAGTTTATAAAAAGGATCTAAGTTGACGTTAGGGACCCCACTGATGATTTCCAAACATTGATGAGAACCTAAATGATATTCCGCTAATTTTTCATTCACCTCAATTGAACTTTTATGTTTTAGGCATGCCCAAATTGACATTCTCAGGCTTCCAAGTGCTGAAATAATGGCCTAGGCAAGCCTTATAGGCCTAGAAATAAGGATTCGTTTACTTACTATGAGCTAACGATTTAAATTGGCCAAGAATGGATAAAATGAAATGGGCGCGAGTCCAATTCATACGTAATCCGAAACAATTTGTCTGACTAAAGTATGTTTGTTCGCGCAGAAGCAAGCAACTACGAAGTTAGTAAAGTAAAGAAAAACGGAGGATATTTCTGCTATTTTTGGACAAAAAAAAAAAATTTATTTATTTCCATTGAAAAATTATGTCTACTACTTCCTTAAATGCTACTGTGACATCTATACGGTACCTCTACTTCCTAAAAAATGTTCCCCCTCCTCAGGAGCCCGAAACAACTCGGAAGTAGGGAAAAGCATAAGCATGTGTAGGGCCATACGAAAGATTGAGCATGTGAAAAAGGGTTTTTCGAAGTCAATCAGAATCTAGCTTAATTATCTCCATCTCTTGCACGGATTTATATGTAACGTAAATCCAAGTTTATGCACAATTCCATTAAGAATCCAAAATATGGGACCAATAGGAGGGACAAACTAGTGATGTGTCTCCCTCCTATTGGATAATGAGTTGGTTATCATTAATGATGATCAACTTATTATCCAATAGAAGGGGGACACCTCACTTGTCTCCCCTATTGGTCCCATATTTTGGGTCACTGTAGCAAAGCTCTTCCATTAAACAGTAACACATCTTACTATATCTCGATTGCAGACACGCCCTTATGGCGCTATTAGTGCGGATAAGTCTCTTGAGAGAACCTTTTTTCTTTCCTATTTTAACCTTCTCAATGATTAAAAAAAAGGTTTTGCTATAGGGACTCAAAATATGGGACTAACAGGAGAACACGTCCTATTGCATAATGAGTTGGTCATACCAGCTCATTATCCAATTAGAAGATGACACCCCACCTGCCCTTCCCGTTGGTCCCATATTTTGTTTCCTTGGTCCCATATTTTGTTTCCTTGGTGATTTTTTCTAAAAAAAAAATCACTCAAGAGGTCTATCTAGTAAAGCTATAAAGTATCTATCCGCAATTAACGCTTCTAAAACTTCTCGCTTGAAAGAATAAAACTCCATAAAAAATGATACAAGGTGGCAGGAGAGGATTCACGTGTTTCGCTGTATCAATTCTAAATTGATGAATTCAGGGTCATATCAGTACAATTAAGTATCAAATCCGTGTGAGCAACTATCGCGTCAATGCAACCATTGACTGAAAATCTGCGCTCAATAATGAATTCAGGGTTTTGTCGGAATGCATCTGTACAAATTAGTTGGGGAGAAATTAGCATTAATCTAGAATTAATGAGCCTTAGGGCCTGTTTGGATTTGTAAAGGGTGAAGGGAAACTGATAGAAGGAAAGAGAAAGGAAGGGAAGGGAGTTCCCTTCCCCTTGGTTACACCCCAATTTGGGGGGTAACAAATTTTATACTCCCTTGGTTACACCCCAATTTGGGGGGTAACAAATTTTATACTATTAGGGGGTGAACCAAGGGGAACTAAGATGAATTAACTTCACCTCCTAAGTGTTCCCAAACAAGGTGAATGGAGGTGAATGGTTCCCCTAACTTCCCTTCATCCTCATTCCCCTCAATCCAAACAAGCCCTTACATTAACAAAAGTTTAAATTTAAGGGTTTTTCTATAGAGTGCTCATAGGCACGTTATAAGAAAGGAGAGAGATAGAAAGAGATGATTGGGGAGAGGATCCCAATGTAAATCAGGTGAGCCCCCTCCTCAATCATCTCTCTCTCTCCTCTTTTATAGAGTGCCCATGAGCAATCTATAGAAAAACCCTAAAATTAATTTTAACTTAAAAATTATGGCTATTAAGTATTGACTCAAATTTCTATTTAAACTCATCGCCTTTTCTTATTTTACCCGATACGAAACTGTACTCACATTAATCACCTCAACTAACTTGGTTTATTAAAAAAAACATTGAAAAAATTTGCGATATGAATTATTAGTTTTGAAGAAACCAATCGTTGCTTCAACTTTCAACAAAAAATTCAAACTGTCAAATCATAATCTTGGAACTTGGACGCAATGAACATGTGAACATGACTACTACCAAAAAGTTAAGGGTGTGTTTCGATAGATGTAATTGGAGCTTCATGTTGTTTCAGTTACTGTAGGCTGTCTAAAAATCACAATAGATAGCTTATCCCCCATCAAACACTAATGATGGAAGTTACAATCTGACGACTTTCAGAAGGTTACAATTTGAAGACTTTCACGTAGATCGCTGAAGGTTACAATCTGACGACATTCACGACAACCGATAAGAGCTCTAGTTCAACAGCATTCACAATCAACATCGGGAGTTACAATTTGACGACTCTCATATTCTCAAGGAGCCAACACGAATATTACAAGACAATGATCTTTGCAAACGCTATGACAAAAGAGATTACTTGTTGATAATCTCTCCAAAGCAAGACGTGAAACTCATCACCGCGCTCTAAGACCAAAACGCAGAGGTCCTCCCCGTGTATCAACACCAAAACGCGGAGGTCCTCCCCGTGTATCAACACCAAAACGCGGAGGCCCTCCCCGTGTGTCAACAGTAAAACGCGAGGGTCGAACCTACGTTACAACATCAAAACGCTGGAGTCGGACCCGCGTTACAACATCAAAACGCTGGAGTCGGACCCGCGTTACAACATTAAAACGCTGGGGTCGGACCCATGTTTTTCAATGCCCAGCGAGTACCCAACTCCGCGTCTCCAGTGTAAAACACGGAGTTAGGGTCCTGAACACCAACGTGGGCGTTTGACTCGTTCAAACACGAGCTGAACGGTTGCAGGAACCGTTTTCCCTCCACGATTTGAGGGATTTCCACCCCACTTAGGAGCGGATTAAGGGGGCGGTTACAGATTAAGGGGGCGGTTACACCCCCTCAACCCCATTATGGAGAGAATTAAGGGGGGAGGGGGGTTACACCCCTTAATTCCATATAAATATGGATAAACTCAATTGAGTTCAGGCTGGCATTTTTGGATCTGAGAGTTGGCAGCGGTCTGTTGGAACTTCTTGGCAGCAAAGGGGGAGATCTTGGAGCATCATAGATTGAGAGATCGACATTCATCTTTTGGAGCATTCCTTGAAGCCTTCGGCCTTGGCTTGAGAACCGATTCTCGGTTCAAATCAACTCTTTTTCAAGAGTTCAAACTCGTTCAGAGTTATCAACTCAATCAGAGTTCTAAAACTTGCCACACAAGTTCTCCACAACGTCAAATCGTGAGGAGAAGATATTGTTCCAGTGAATCAAGATATTCGGATCGTCAACGGAGAGCAAATTCGACGCAAGCATTCGAAGGAGGCACTCCATTGCTACCGTGAAGAACCCAGTTTTAAACAAAGGGGAGAATCAAATTCATTCTCCTCTCTTTTGTAATCGGAATCCAAATTGTAATCGATTTTAAGAGAATACAGATCAATTTTTCATTCGTTTCTTTTACATCGAATTTTTCCACAAACAGTTACATCTAAGTTTTAAAAGTATTATTTAGTTAGATATTATTGCAATATCAAAAAAGTTATAGTAACAAAATAAACTAAAAATAGAGGTATTAAAACGACACTTAAATTTAAACATGCTACAACACCTTGAGTCAGAACATCATCAACATTTATCTGTAGGGGAAAGCATGACCAGTATACATACAAACACACGCTGTCCTCCGCCACGCTGCAGTCACACCCTCTGTTTTTATTTATTTACGCCGTGTACCCCTTTGCTACTGCCTGCTCATGCAAGCCTGCAACAAACAAAGAGAGTCCCCATCATATATCGCGGGAAAACAGCAGCTAAGAATTAATTCTGCAAATTAAAATCAGTAATATATAGTTCAACAAAACACCTGCATACAAATACAAACAGAGAAAGATAATTTGAAAAGTTCAGTTGTTTTTTTAGCGAGGGATCTTCCCCATGGTCTTTTAGACTGTAGGTATCAAACCCCCGGGCATAACTAAATGGCACTCTAAATAGAAGTAAATAAATAAATAAACAAACTAGTTAAGAGGAGAAATCAAAGAATTTTTAAACAGTGACAAAACCCCTTGAAAACACTTGATAAAACTAATCTGCTCGTATCAAGCAACCAAAAGGCAGCGCACGTTAAATTAAGAGAGATTACTCGAAGCAACGGAACCGGAGGCTGGTGGGTATAACACTGGTCCGAACCCCACACTTCCGGGCGAGCCCAGACGCCCGGCGGCCGTCTATCCTCCCCACCTCCGCCATCATCGCCCTCAGGCAATCGCACACGCCTCTCTTCCCCATCGAGGTCATCGACGAGAGCTCCTCGACGGACTTCACCGCCGCGCAACAGCTCGACGAGACCGGCCCGCGCTCGTCGCCCATGACGTACGGCACGCACATCCCGAACGCCGTCTGCGCCACACCGCAGTCTGTCTTCGTGTGGCTCTCGACCGCTCTGATCGCGGCCAGAACGGATAACATGACTATCAACATCCGTATGAAACCAGACATGACTGGGAGAGAGTGAGATACCTGCTACTGCTACTGAAGTTATGCGCGTGTTAATGTCATATATGGGGGTTGGGAAGAATCTAGTGGTGGAGAGAATGACTGGGGGGAATAATTAATGTCCACATCGAGGGTCGATCAATGGTTCTCTGAAGATAGACATGAGCTGAAGTAAAGCCAAACAAAGGCATCTCTGTCAACTTGACATCTGGGTTCATGTCACCCATCGGCACTCAATTTGGCTAAGTTAAATAATGGGCACAATATATGATGTATCATAAAAATCTAGGCGCTAGGGCTTTTTCTTTATTGAGGTTGGCAATAATAGCTGCCATTAAAAGCTTAACAGGGGTAAGGCTCGTACTGGTCTATGACACCATCAGTTTCCTTTAGGGTTAATTGCCAACAGAACCCTCTTAGTATCATTTTATTGTGATCAAACCTCTTATAGTTGTACCTATTGTGAGTAGAACCCTGAGTGCTTTTTTTTAAAAAACTTTTAAAATCGTTAAGAATATTTGAAGAGGCAGATAGACCACCTATAATTCTATCGATGAGGATAAACACCCAATTGCTTTTTTTTTTTTTACTTTTAAAAAGTTAAAAAAGTTCACTAAGTAGGTATATTCACATTTGGGCTAATATTATAGGGGGTTTACTCATAATAAGTAGAATTATAAGGAGTCTATTCACAATAAATAGAATTACAAAAAAAAATCTCTTTGCAATTGAGGGTCACTACCAAGAGTTTGTTCGCAATAACCCTTACTTTTATTTAAGAAGTTCTTAGTTTCACCAGCTGTGCGCTTTGATATTGACTACTACTCTTTTGTATATTCACCTACTAAACCAAGATATTATAGTTATGCTTATCCCTTCAAAAGATATAATTATCATTAGTCTGTTGGTGCTACCAATTAGAGCAACAGGTTAGCACGAAAACAATAATAGAGTTGGAATCAACTTCGATGTTTTCTGACACATAAGGATTACAGTTCAAGATGACAGCAATGTTGGAATGAGGTGTAGATCAAACCTCGATTCCGACGAGGAGCTCCGGCGAGCTCGAGGGATGGCGCAGGCGAGCGTGGACGTCGACTCAGGTGAAGTCGACGGCGAACTCCAGGCGCAGTTCCAGGTGAAGCTCGAGCAGGCGAGCTCGAATTTGGCGTTTCTGACCCTCGCATTTGGGATACCGACCCACGCGTTTTGGAGCTCCGACGATCGCGTCTTGACGCACCGACCCTCGCGTCGAGCTTGGGCGCTCGCGTGGCTGGCGACAGCCCGATCGCGACCCACGCGTTTTGGAGCTCCGACGATCGCATCTTGGCGCTCCGACCCTCGCGTCAAGCTTGGGCGCTCGCGTGGCTGGCGACAGGCTGTCGCCAGCCTGTCATGTTTCGCCTATAAAAGCAAACCCCGATGCCCTAGCCATGGTGCTTCTCTCCCCCGATCTCTCTCTGGCGACGGACAAAAAAACGCAGCAGCGTTCCCATCTCCAGCTCTCAACTGTTCTTTTGAGGGGAGATTAAAAAAAGGATTTAAGAAGAGAGAGGAATTTAAAGGGGATTTATATTGTGGAATATTCTTTATTCTCAAAAGAGAATTGAAAGGGATTATTCCCTTTAATTATTAACACTGTTGCTACAGTGTTCATTTTGAGAAATCTCAGTTTTAAGATCTGCTCTTGAATTGTAATTTCTTGTTTGATTAATAAGAAATTTACTGTGTGGCTCCCGAGGACGTAGGCAGTTGCCGAACCTCGTAAATCTTGTGTACTTTTCTCTATACCGTATTTCTGCTGTTTTAGGGGTTTTGCATAGCCCCAGCGGGTAGTATTCCCAACAAACAATAAACACAAATAAGTTTTTATTAAATAAAATAAATATATAAGAACCACAATCTACTGGTATAATTACGGAGCTCACATAGGTTATAAAGAAATGTTAGGGGCACACCTCAAGTCACACTTCCAACCACACCTCCCCTTCTCATTCGCTACAGTACTCCGGGCCCCACATAAGTTTTTAAAATTTAAAAACTCATGTGGGGCCCGGAGTACTGTAACGAATGAGAGGAGATGTGTGGTTGGAGGTGTGGTTTGGGGTGTGCCCCTAACACCACTCTAGGTTATACTATGAGGAGTCAATAAATTCCAGTACTAGAAAAGAAATTATGTGATATCATGACTTCGAAATAAGGACTCCATAATCTGGGTATAAGTATCAAATTTAACGGAGCACAAGTAAAAGATTAGAAATACAACTGCTAACATACTACTTTAGCTTATAAAGTGACACCCACTAACCGATATGGCCTAAAAAATGACACCAGCGATAATAGCATATATAAATTGATACACTTAACCATCTACACCTCCTCTGGTCATCAAAAAGTTTTGATTTGAGCGGGAAAATTATGGATTTTGGCACATACACCCCCCATATTACTTACATTTACTGATTTGCCCTTTAAAATTAAAAATATTTATAAAAAAATCATTTTAAAATCATTTTTTTATACTCCCCCCACCCCACCCAAATAATAATAATAATAATAATAACCCAAACAAATATCTCTCCCTATCATCTCCTTCATCCTCTTCTTCTCCCCTCTCATAAACTCCACTTTCACTCCTTCCCAAAATTACTCCCTCTCCCCTTTCTTATACACACGCGCGCGCGCACTATCAGCTTCATCCTCCTCTTCTCCTCTCTCTTATTCCCTCTTCCCTTTTCTCCTTTCCAAAATCCTCATCCTCACCTCCTCCTCTCCATCCTTGTCCATACATGTTTCTCCGCTCAACTTTTCCCTGTTCTCTCATCTCAGTCTTCTTTCCCATTCCCTCCTCTCATTTCCTCTCTCCCCTCTCCCCTCAAACATTAACTAAAAGTGGAGAAGGGAGTGGAGGAAGGGAAGGAGGGGAGTGAGGAGAGAGAGGTTGAGAAGAAAGAAAGAGTAGAGTTTTTATGCAAATATTTCAATTTGAATGTTAAATTTATAAATGAGAGATATGAGGAGTATATATGCAAAACTTCACAATTTTCTCGCTCAAATCAAAACTCTAGCAGCTAGAGTAGGTGTAAACGGTAAGATATGTCAATTTATAGGTGTTATTATCGCCGGCGTCACTTTTGTAGGCTTCATTGGTTAGACGGTATCGCTTTATAAGCTAAATTGGTATTTTAGCCGAAATACAACTATCTGAATGATAAAAGTGAAATGACATGAAAGGGATTAGAAGAAATTTTCTAAACAAGCCCGTTCATAATTTTTTTTCTAAAAATAGACCCATTTGAGTTTTTCTTCTTCAAGGGATTATCATCTACCAACATATAGGGATTATTGCTGAGCATCTACCAACGTGTATTGTACAAATAACAGCAAATCTTCGTTATCGACATACAAGCATCCCTAATAATCGAGGATAAAGATACTTATTGATTCTTCTGGAATTGGATCACTGCTGCAGCCACCACAAAAGGACTCCTGGAAGTGTATGAAAGATCAAAACTCCATGTAGTCTGCGAAACCATAACAAATGAAAATAAAAAACCATAAAAATGAAAAGAAGAAACAATAGGCACTTGTTATTAAACAAAAGACGGAACATTAAAATTATTATTAAACAAAAGATGGAACATTAAAATTAAAACCATGTGCAATAGAATCTCCTTGTTCCCCCACATAGGAGAGGAACAAATTTTTACATAAGCCCATAAGGTATTAAAATGCACAAGCAATTGCAAGTTTTGATTGTGGACTGGCAGAATGATCATCCCCTGCAGCAACATGGGACTAGTAACAAAGACGTATTGCGGTTGAAAAAATTGAACAACTGCATCACAGATAAACTAAACCATTCCATAACCTTGATTTCCAAGTTGTGTGACTTGAATTATGCAATGAGAATACTCCAGTGGGTTGCATACAGATAACCATGAACCATTCATCAAAGTATTCCATGTAGGCCTCATCTATTAGTAGCGCCACAGAAAGTGTTTCATATTCATCTAAAACCTCGATCCATGTTACTCATGATTCTCTGCTTTTAACATAACCCTAAAATAGTTGATACAAATGTGGACACCCTTCATAACCATAAAGCTGTACACTGTCATTGTTCACGCAAACTTTCCGACCTTCCTAACTCACATATCCAGCCAAGCTACACTATACCTTGCTAATTTTATTGATACTCACAGTTGTGCCCTTACAATATGCTTCATAAATTGAGAAAGACAGTTACCAGGATAACTGAAGTACGCCAGGTCGAAAGTCAAGGATATTTCTAGTACAGTTTAATAGGAACATCACACGAATGCTTAAGAACATATATCTGAGAAGAAACAAAATTTCCATGGAGCACAAACTAATACTCATAGCAAGAAATACATATTCCACATATAGATCATTAATCAATATAGTACAATTCATAAATGAATTTCCTACGGAAGCAATTTGCGATTGTTCGATTGCTTAAGCTATTACAGCTGTTACTGTATAATGATTATTTAATCTAATGTATCCTAAACAAAGCCAACTATAATCTAACTATTTCCATACATTTCTCCTCCATCTGCTATTATTCTGCTTGTCTTCATTCAACGACGACCCTCGACCATTCCAAGATTCAACTACCAGATTTCCTGCAGCCCTGGAATTGTCTATCACATAAGTTTTTTTTACGCACATAATATTATTCAAGATTAATGCATTCAAAAGTTTCAGTCCAGAGGATTTAATCGTCTAATTTTCTGATTACCGAAACATGCAGAAAAACAATATCAACAAATCTACGCTAGTTTATAAAACAATATGTACGACGTCAAGTACATGAACTGGAAATCATCCATCAAAGTCACTCGTGTACATGAATCGTCTATATATACACAGACGAAAACTTGAAATATACTTCAGCAGTGTTTTCAGTCATGACTTCACAAATTAAAAATTAAAGAGTATCGATCGAAAAATGATGGGTCAGATTACAGTTATGTCAACTTAAGTGGATAGGAATAAGTCATGCACCAACTTTTTTAGCCGTTGATATTGCATTGGGATCCATGATAGATATGAAGAATCTTTTAAGATTTGTGCATCTTTTGATGGCACAAATCTTGAGACAAAATGAGTGGATAAAAAGTTTGGTGGACAAGGCCTCCTATCCACTTAAGTGGATAGGAGTTTTACTCTCTCTCTCTCTCTCTCTCTATATATATATATATATATAGAGAGAGAGACCCACGACGCTATCGCCCGCTACGCTATCGCGCAATAGTGGTGACATATTGCGGAATATGTCTGTTCGTAAAAGCGGTCAATAGTGTGTCATAACGGTAAATAGTGAGCGATTGCATTCGAAATTTGCTTTTTGACTGCTATTTAAAAGCGGTTTGAGGCGTATTTTTTTAAAATTAAACTTAACCATTGACCATTGTATTTCACTGTCTCCTGTGATTTTTAGCATACTCCCGCCACCTCTCATAGTCTCTGACACCTACCTTGATACTTCCTATCACCTCCTTCACCGTAAGCTCCTCTTAGGGCAGTCCTGTCACCGCTAAACTCTTCTTCTCGAAGACGACGACTTTTTAACTCCTCCAATCATCTTCGGTATTACGTGATGGTTACATGTCTATTTCATATTTAGGATCTCTTTAAATCATCCAATATGTACTTTTAGATTTCTTAAAATTTTTTTAATTTTTCTTTTTTTAGTATTTATACATATCTAAATTAGACCGCTATTTGACTTTGCGCTTTTTACCGTTATTTTACCGCAATAGCCCGAAATAACCTTAGCGATGCCTCACCGCTACGTGACGCTATCCGCTATCGATAACCTTGAGATAGAGAGAGAGAGAACCTAAGGAGGCTTCTTAGGTTCCATCTAAGGGTGCACAATCTCAGCCCTTCATTACTTTCATCTCCGCCCTCCATTTCAAAATAACCCAAAACCTAATCCTCCACCCCCTTCTACTTTCTCCTTTCATTCTCAGCCCCCCAAAAAATCAACACCCCCACCCCAAAATCAGATATGAGATCTCAGTTCTCCTCTCTCCTCTCATCCGCCCGCCCCGCAGATGTCGCGCTTGTTCCCCTCTCGCCAGCGGTCCCGCGCCCTCGGCGCCCGCCTCGCAGTCACCGTCCAACTCTTTGTCTGCCCCCATTCGGCGCCGCTTCTCGCCTTCTTCTCCTTTCAGACCAAACTCTCAGCCCTCGGCCTCCTCTCCTTCGCCGACACTCACGGTATTCTTGCCCGACTCGTATGCTCTTCGCCGGCCGTCTCGCTCGCCCTTATTCTTATTTCAAGCGGAAATCTCAGCCCTCCTCTCCACCGTTCGATCGCTCGCTTGCCTCGGCTGCCCGCGCTCTTGCTCCCCGATTCGCCTCGGGCTGGCCTCTTCGTTGTTTTCCTCGACAATTGTTGCGGGAACTTCTCCTCGACGCACGTGACAGCCTCGATCCTCGCCAAGCGTCGCATCACATCTCCTCGAACCCCCGAGGCTGCAGGAAAGCTGCATCAGGTGTTCGCAAAGCTTTGCAGACTCTCTCTCCACCTCGCACAATTACTCGTAGCATAGCGTCCAAGTCATGGCGTTCGACAAATTTCTTCATATATATATATATGAGAGAAATATGGAGAAACTTGGTACCAAGTTTTTCCATTGAACTTGGTAGTGAGGTGGCCAAATCCCCACCCTACATCACACCTTGAAGAGAGAGCATCAATCACTATTCACCTACTTATAAAAAGAGGCTCCATTTTCAAGGTGTGATGTAGGGGGGTGATTTGGCCACCTCACTATCAAGTTCAATGCAAGAACTTGATACCAAGTTTCTCCATATTTCTCATATATATATATATATAGTTTGAGTGATGGCAGCACTCTAATGAAGTCTAAGTTATGTTCATTCGTGACAAAGTTCACATTTTGCTGGCTTGCATTGCATTTCATCAAGATTGTTATTTTTGGGTCACTATTAAAAGAGTAAGCATAAGCACCATAATCAATTAAAAACTAAGGTAAATTACTTAATTAGATAAACCCCTCATTAATCCGAAAACCATTCTAATTTTTTTTTACCTTTTCTCTTCTCTGTTATCTGTAGGTGAGCGATTCAAAAGTCGGAACAGCGTCCATTGCGCTCCCAATCCCCGTACCGCGTGGGCTCGGGCCCACGGGGCCCACCGACCTCTCCCGTTGTCTTATTTACGAAAGCGCCATCAGCATCGTCATCTTCATCTTCTTCTTCATCCTTCTCCTTGTCGCCATTCGAAGGAGGAGGCGATGGAGGGGAATCTCCCATCGATTTCTCCGAGGGTTGATTTGGGGCTGAGGATGACAGATCTCTCGTCGACGCGAAGATCGCAGGGGAGAGGGATCGGTGGTTGCTTTGAAACCCTAACCCTAATTTGGGGACTGAGGAGAGTAGACGGGGGAGCTTGGTCGCCATTTCGATCTAGAGAGAGAGAGAAGGGAGAGAGGGGGGGTTTAAGAAGGAATTGAGGGCATCTTAAGGAAAGTAGGAAAATAGAGACACGTGGGAAGATTAGTCCCACGTATCAATGGCGGTTCTGGGCCTTGGACTCGAAGGAGAAGTGTTGGATCAATGGGCCTAAGTCCAAGACTGGCCTTCTCCCAAATTCATATGGACAAAAAATATGTGAGCGCATTGGGTAGGCTTCTGAAAATCCCCATGAACTGCTCAAGGAGCACCTAAAATTTTTTCCGTGAGCTTTTGGGATGCTTTGCTCACAGTTCTTCCGAACTTTAGATGTTGCACACGAGTACCACTCCCGATCTAGAACCATTTTTTAACTGATCACATGTGGGAGTTTTCAATGAGAGATCCAAATCCTAATGTCTCAAGCTTTATAGTACATGTAAACCTTAGGGCTCCCTTTACAAGGTCGTGAATATGACAAATGTTGCAATGTCTAATAATTAAAAATTGGGAATAGACACGGATTGACCATTGGTCTTGTAAGCCAAGATCCTTAGCTTCAACCACCAAGCCACCTACAAAGGATAACTTTTGAAGTAACTCAATTCTCTCAATAAATCCCACAATCTTTATCTTTTTCTCATTTTCTCTATCCTCTTTTCCCCAAGGAACCCTAGAAACAAATTGCTCCAAAATTCAAAAGGACGGATTTTGTGAAACTCCCCAAAGTTTAAGGGATGATCTTAACTAATTTTGAAGCTCAAGGAGTTTGTGAAATTTACCCAAAGAACTTTTGCCCCTGACCTTGAAATTTAGTTCGTTTTATTCATTTTAAACTTCATTTCTCGAGTTTTTGTCATACTCCTTGAATTGTTTTCTGGATACGAGAGAAACCTTGGCAAGGCATGAGGATTCCTAGACCGAAGTTCTAGTTCATTCTTGACCCCTACCACCTAAACCCTGGGCGTTCTTGCAATTTATTCAAATTATTGAGATTGCTCCCTTAAGTCTTATATAATTTGGGTTAGTCCGTCAGATTATTGAAATTGTCGATAGATCCTTCAAATCATAGGGGTTCTTGTAATTTAGTTCCTATGTTAGTTCTTAATAAATTAGAATCCACTTTATCTCCGATAATGAAAGTTCCATGGAATTTTTTTTGCTAAACTCCATTAAATTACATTGAAAAAAAACAATTTTCTTATAAAAATGTTTCAAAATTTCAGATGCAATGTATAAGCATACATATAAGGCATATTCCTAAGGACCATAGGCCCATCTACCCCTAGTACCAATGGCTAATCACTAATTAGACGCTCTCAATGGACATCCGAGGACCATAGGCCCATCTACCCCTAGTACCAATGGCTAATCACTAATTAGACGCTCTCAATGGACATCCGTTGGGCATAACAATTCAAACTATGGTTTCCAATGGCTAATCACTAATTAGACGCTCTCAATGGACATCCGTTGGGCATAACAATTCAAACTATGGTTTCTCAGTCAATCTCTTGTCATCTTGATTGACTCCTACACTCTAAAATATAATGTGTTTGGCAACTGAAGAAACCGCGAACGATTTGATGAAGAACAAGTTTTGAAGACTGCAGGAGTCACATTTGGAGCTTCACGGTCGACCGCGGTGTAAGGTCGGTCGACCGCGAACGTGCAAAGACTCTGGGAGGAGTCTGGCTTTGGCACGGTCGATCGCCGTGGTCGACCGCGAGACCCTGTAAGCGAATATTAGGCTCTGTCGTTTGTCACGGTCGACCGCCGCGGTCGACCGCCAAACCTTGTAGGAGTTTTTCAGGCTCTGTCGTTTGTCGCAGTCGACCGTGGCGGTTGACCGCGTATCGGGTCAGGCCCATGTTTGATTTCCTGTTCAATTTAGGTTTGGTTTTGCTATAAATACCAACATACGAATTAGGGTTTCTTTGGCTTGGATTGGAGATTAGTTTGGGGATATTGGAGCGCAGAAAAAGAGAGTTTTTCTGAGCAATTGTTTGAGGGTTTATTTGGAGAGATTAAGAGCTTTGTTGGTGAGATTAGTTTGTTCCTTCGAGTGATTTGTAATCTCAAGTTGTACTCTTTTTTTCTATTAGTGAAAACCCAATCCCCTTCTTACCCCGTGGACGTAGGCAATTTGTCGAACCATGTAGAACTATTGTGTTTGGATTTGTGCCGTTGTTTTGATTTGTTTGGCCTTTATCTCGATATTCGATTTGGTTCTCGAAGCACGCCCGTTTGGTTGTCCCGCTTTCGCGCCGCGCACAACAATTGGTATCAGAGCTTCAGATTCTAGATCTAGGATTTTGTCTTAGTTGGAGGAGTAGATCAATTTGGAAGTTTGGCTAGGGCTTCGTTTGGTGAGAAATGTGGGATCTTTTTTGGTAACGACTCTATCTTTTTCAGTTTGGATCTATTCTTCATTTGTTCCGCATTGGTTTGTTGGTACTTGGGCTATTTGGATGAGTAGATCACTTAGGAGGCTCTTTGAGTGTTTCGTTTGGAGATAAAGGTGAGGTTTTTCCTATTTGTGGATCTTGTTACCGTCGTGCGGGGTGAGATAGTTTAGAGACTCTTGTTAGGGTTTTAATTGGAGGTAAAATTCTTTCCTTTATCAGTTTGGATCTATTCTTCATTTGTTGGTGGTTTGAGATAGTTGGCCGAGATAGAAGGATTTGAGGCTGGGTTATTTGTTTGTTGATACGGTGTAGTGGATTATTGAGAAGTGCCATTGACCTGCATATTAAAGTCCTTTGAGTACGTGGGTATGAGCAAGGAGACCGAGGTGGAGTTTGGTACTTCTATTTGATGATTGAGGGGTCTTCTATTTGGTGTTCATTTAGGCATTCTGGGGCCTTCCAATGAGGTATCATTGGAAGGTAATTGGTATTTTGGTTTTCTATGTTGAGGATTGTACTAGGCATTTGTGGGTTGCAACCAAATCCCGTTGGTTTTAAAGTCCTAGTAGTCAACAACAATTGGAAGAAGTGTATTGGCAGAAAGGTAACTCGTTGTTCTAGCTTTGGTAGGGGTCCTTTCTTGCATTTGTGTCGAGCTCATGGCAATAGGAGATACTTCATTGGTGTGGAGATTTTGGGGCGACGAGATGAGATGAAAGTTTCGATGGGTCGTTCCTTTCTGGAGGAGGATCAGCGTTGGTTGTCGAGCATTGGTTCTAGTTTTGGAGGTTCGACATATTTGGGTCATCTTAGTCATAGGTCACCGACTGCTGTATTAGGAGTTATTGGATCTGGTGGAGCTGCTTCAGATTTTGGTCGGTGTTGGATATTTGGTTACCCAGTATTTGGTCACATCAAGGATATGAGATTTGATCCGATTGCGTGTTTGGGATTCGGAGGCTCATTTGATTATCGTTTGGGAATTTCTGATTTTGTTCTGA